TCTTACACGGAACTACAGTGCTCCAAGAGGCACATTCCTCATGCTCTGAGACTTGGAGGCCCAGCAATGCTGTGGACCAGGCAGGCAGAGGAGGCAGTTACAGTGGGAAGGTCCACAGGCTCCCCACTCTCCTGTAAAACCATTAATAGTCAAATCTTCTGTCACCCTCCTGCTACTTTCCTGTTAGAAAACAAAGGTCCAGGTGCCTCGGGGAAAGCCTAGTATGGTGCTCCCTGCCACCGCACTCCTAGACACCCCCCCCAAGATTTCATTTGGCTGCTTTTATAGGGGACAAAATTTTCCCCACTTAGACATTTCTCTGTGCCCCCTTGGCAGTCATACACAGGAGGGGCCCTGTCAATCATGACTTTATGGTATACAGGTTTATTCACCTAGTATGGTGCTCCCTGCCACCGCACTCCTAGACACCCCCCCCCCAAGATTTCATTTGGCTGCTTTGATAGGGGACAAAATTTTCCCCACTTAGACATTTCTCTCTGCCCCCTTGGCAGTCATACACAGGAGGGCCCCTGTCAATCATGACTTTATGGTCTACAGGTTTATTCACATAAGACACAGCCCTGGCTTCCATGAAAGCCACCTACGTACGGTTACAGGAAAAGTGCCAGTCCCCTTACTCACCACTCAGATGGCTTCAGAGGCACAGAGTCCAGTGGCCACAATCAACATTTGTTGGTCCGTCCACACCAAGTCCAATCAAAGACAAGCTCTTGAGAGCTCATGAGAACTAAAGCTTGCAAGAGGTTTCCTGTTTCTTCTGTTGCAAGCCAGAGGGGGATCTCTGAGACCCCCAACAAGTAACCACAGCTTCCCAATCAGAGAGCTGCCCCACCCTGCCTGATGTCAGCCCAGAAAGTCAACAGAGGCACAGTGGAGTTCATGCCCACAGCTAAGTGAGCTTGAATGCCTGGCTCAGGGTACCACCTACCCACTGCAGCTTTCTTCAGGATGGGTGCTGTACACCCTAGACTGTCGGCAGGATACTGGGCTGCCTGTCTATGGAAGCACCTTCTCTAACCAGATCCAGGAGCTAGCCCCTCCCACGCTCCCCGAGGGACTCTCCCTTGCACAGAGCAGGTATACAGCTTTGTGTCTGAAGATTAAAGTTTGCCAGCTCATGGCTACCAAAGCCACTGCCTTGAGGTGCCAGCATAATTCCAGTCAGCCTACCTGATTGAAAGCCTAGTCAGGGAGAAATATGGAAGAAAGAAGAGAAGCCCAGGGGGCCAGCTAGAGGGTGAAAATCCCCTGGACCCAGCCTTTCAGAAGACCTGGAGTTAGGGAAGTGAAGTAAGAGCCCTGGGGCAGTAAGTCTTTGGCTCCTTTCAAGAGTCCAAGTTTCCAGGCTGTTTTGGTGCGCCAGAGGCCTGCCAGGAACCTTCATGGCCCCCTTCCCACAGCCCATTGTCTTATGCTCTCCTCCCCGTAGCTGCTAAGAGACCAATCTGAAGCAAAAGACCTGGAATATTTAGTTTCAGCTTTTGCCTGGAACGGTGCGGGCTGGGAGCTAGCCTGGCAGCGAAGGACCAGCCAGAGGCTTCCATTTTCCTCACTTGCACAGGTGGCTTGGAAGACAAGCCCCTCCCTTGGGGGTGGGGGTGACCATTTGAGGCCTAACCTGACATCCTGGGCTCAAAGCCTGGGGCATGTACAGCATGGAACAGCATGGAGAGTTTGCAGGGACACGCACCAAGCCATATATGGGAGCTACCTGTGTGGAGAGGCTTGGCATGGGGAACTAGGGGCTGTGGTAGCTAATGTCCTTTCTCAGGAGAATGTATTCATGTATGACATGCACAGTTAAATATTTTTAAAATGCAGTGTGGATGGCATGTAGTAAGGTGTACCACAGAAAGCCCTGGTCAGAATTAACTTTCGATGATGGAGAAAGTTTTTCTCTAGAAACTACTCCTTAAAGGCCAAGTATGTGACAGCAGCCAGAATGACTCTCTGTAAACCCTGATCAAAGGCTCCCCACCAGCCCTTCCTTGCTGGACATCAGCGATGCAGCAGGCAATGGAAGACACAGCCTACTCCACCACCCTGCAAGCTACTGAGGCTGTCAAGTGATGATTGTGTGCCTCTGATCTCAGGCCTAGTCATTGTAAGGGAAATTTCACTGGTGAGTGAGTGATCGACAGCATGCCGCAAACGAATCCCCTCCGCTATCACCAGGTGTGAATGAGTTCCTCCTCTAATCCATGCACACGGGACACATTGCTTCTCCAAGGGCAAGTTCATAGCTTTTGTGAACAGGGATTGGACTCATGATGGAGCATCTGGACAGAAGAGGGAATATAATCAGGGGACAAATGTTCCAGGTAGATCATAGCTTAAGGGACAAACAGCAGTGTCATCCTGCCTTTTAGCATCCTGCCCTGGTAATACAATCCCTATGGCCCTTAAAGGACACCTACAAGTAGCTCAATGCTGGTCTCTCAGGCTGCCAAAGAAGCCAGCAAGGGCAGCTCTGGATGCAGCTCCCCTCAGGAGGTCTGTGATGCCTCCTGGATGGGACAGGCAGGTGGAAGAACACAGCAAGGAACTGACCCCTGGTCCTGTCAGGAGCCAGCCAAGCAAGCACCCTGCAGGGAAGGTAAAGAGGTAGTCAGGGCCCAAACAAGGACTCCATCTGAGCTCACCTAGCTCAGGAGGTGCTCCTCCAGAGGGGCCACCAGGCTGTTTGTTTGTAAGGCAGCTAAATTGCTCCCAGGAGTGAGCCTTTGTTTCACAACATATTTTCAATGAGACTTTTTCTGCAAACATGTCTTGTCTGTGCAGGCACACGCACACTCTGGTCTCAAAGGGCAGACTTGGCCCAGCCTGGTTACAGCCTTCTCTTCCTTAGAGTTTCCCCGTGGGGCCCAGTTGGGACAGGAAAAAAAGAGGCATCTTTAGCCTCTTGCTATCTAGCTTGTAGCCCTCCCTCTCCTCTTGGTTTGTCGGGTGTGGTGGCATCAAAGGCAGTGGGAGCATTGGGCTGATGACAGCAAGTGCCACATGCTGCTTTGTGTGAACCAGCAAGTCTACCTGTTTCCTTTAATGCTCTCCCGAATTTAGGGTCCTTCTCCGTCCTGAGGCTGCAGAGTGGAGGGAAATTCTGTCAAAATTTCTCAACCCTGCTTCTATTCCTCAGGTGAGTCCTGGGCTTCCAGGTCCCATTTAGAGAGATGAGTAATGCTCTTGACCCTCCTGACAGCATGCACTTATGACTGAGCACAGTTTTTGGTCTCCAAACTGTTTCCTCTGGCACCTCAATACCCGTCTGCTCTGGGACCAGAGAGAACCTGCTTAATATCTCTTAAGCTAGTGTATTTCTCTCACCTTCCAGCAAGGTGAGACTGCACAGCCATATGTCTGGGATCCCACTGGACTGACAGCAGGCCCTATATCCTCATCTCTGAAGCACTGCAGTCCCCAGAGTATTAGGAGTAGGGAGCCTCTTGCATGGGCCCAGTGAGAACCAGAGAGAGTTGACAGGGCAGATGGCAAAACAGAATCCAGGACCCAAGTCTCTCCTCTCTATCTCTTCATGAGCTCTCTCTCTTTCTCTTTCTCTCCTCTCTCTTCTGCCTTCTTTCTCACTCTCCCTTTCTCTCTCTGCTCTCTTGCTCTCTTCTCTCTCCCTTCTCTGTCTCTCTCTCACTTCTCTCTCTGCCTCTCCTTCCCTTCTCTCTTACTCTCTCTCCATCCCTCTCTCACGTTCTTGCTCTCTGATCCCTCTTTCATTCCTCATCCTCTACCCTCTATTATGTTCACTTCATATCTCATGCACACTATCCTACCTTTAGAGATGGAAAAGTCTTGACAAATTTCAGGTCCTGGAAAAGATCCACTTAACCCCAAATCCAGTGTAAAAGTTCTGGGTCCTTTCCCCCAGAGAGATTTTGTTTGTGACTTCTGCATCACTGTGACCCAACCCCTAACAAGGGATGAATCTGTTTGTTACATCAGAGTCCCCATGCCCTAACCATCTCTGGAACCACCTTCACATACACACACACACACACACACACACACACACACACGCGCGCGCGCGCGGAGCTAGACTCTACTCATCTAGATGTTTCTTAATCCACTCCAGTTGACATTCGGCATTAAGATGTGCATTGAAAATTTGGTCCCAAAGAAAGGGGACAGTAGCTCTTTTACAAAGCTCTGGCACCAGGCATCCCTTCCCTTGTGGCTGGGCTGTCTAAGATACGATTGTGACACCATAGGCACAGGGGGCTGGACTATAACCTCCAGAACTCTGTCAGAGCCTTATCACCAGACATTCTGTAGGAAGCAGACCACTGTCTAGCACAGGACTTGGGAGAATGTAACCCAGATCCAACCCTTTCCTTGTCTTGTAGGAAACCCCAGGGACATCGTTCCCCTCTCAGGAACTCAATTTCCTCCTAGTCAAATGTGAAGATTTCTGGTCCTTCCCATGACGTTTCCTCTGACTGACTCCCCATACCACTTGGCATGGCCCTTGAGCAATCATTGATATGAGTCCAAAGGGAAGGACTATGTGAAGCTGTGCCTGGGCTGGAGACAGTGAGGGTAGGGACCCCAGAGTAATGGCTGCAGCCAAGTCCCAGCCACAGTGCCTGGGACCAGGGAGCTGTCCCCCAGTTCAATCTGCAACTCAGCCAAAAATGAGTCTTAGATGCGAGAACGTCTGACGCCAGGTTTTGTTGCAATTATAGCTTTTATTGAGCATGCTCTCTAAACAAAGCCTTGAGCGGTGTGGAAGCCAAACCCTGCCCACAGAGAATGACAGAGAAGGGCAGACAGATGAAGTGCCTATGCTGGTGGTGTTGTGACGACTGGTGCCATCCTCATCCGTCCAAAGGAGTGACAGCTCATCCAGGCATAAGGCCTGACCAGAATTGTGAAAGGCTCTGGAAGGACAATGGGCAAGGGCAGCCCTAGAAGCAAAGGTAAGAGCACAAGGGGAACAGTTCCAGCGGGCCTGTGAAGACTATGAAACTTCACTGGTGAATCCATAGCCACAGGCTGGCTACGAAGACCAACAGCAGCACAGCGAAGAGTGCAGCCTCCTTATGGTGGTGCCAGGCAGTACTCTGTTCCTCAAGGGCACGCAGCCGCACAGTGATCACTTGCATCTGTGCAGGGATCAAAAATAGGACTGGTGAGCAGGGACTTTTCATGGGAAGGCCAAAGCACAAGGGCATGGGGCCAGCTGGGGGTAAGGGAGACCCTGTCTCAAAAAAACCAAAAAAAAAAAAAAAACCAGAAACAATCTTTGCTACCTTTATCCCCTCCACTTCCACCTCATTTTTCCCAATTTCTTTCCAACATCTCCAGCATAGAGGGAAAGTCGAAGGTGGGCATCGACATGCAGTACCCAAGCCATGAGACTTGAGAAGAGAGGGGAGCCTGACGTCACTTCACACGCTACAGGATAAGATTATAATAAAGGCTATGCTAATTAAAGGGACAGATCTTATTCACAGGTGTCAAGGTCCCCCACTTCAAGGTACAGTGATGCTGCTGCCACCAGCACAGCACATGCTCACCTCCCTTCTCATGATTTCCATCTCCAGTCCATTGAGCTCTTCCAGGCCAATCTCTGCCATTATATCTGCTTCCAGGCTGCTCAGGGAGAAGATACAGGGTCAGGGATGCTAGTGGCCTCAAGCAGGGCAAGGGAAAGCTGGTAATCCTGGAGGCTTTTCAGATGATGACCCCAGTCCTTACATCGTGTGGTAAGAGGTCCAAGAATCTTCCAAAGTATATAAAGGTCCCAAATGGCCTGAAGGCAATAGCACCCAATACTCAAAACACCTAACACTGCCTTTTGGCCAGGCTACTCACCAATCCCTCTGCCCCTGCCGCAGAGAGGGGCAATACAATCCAGCTCTTACCATTTGTATGGGATCCTCCCCTCCTGAAGATGGGCATCCCTGTGGCTTTGCTCTCTTGGCATCCTGGGCATCTGTAGCTGATGCCCCTATAGGAAAGAAGAAAGTGCCATTCGAAGCAACCTCCTCAGCCCCAGCAAAGCACTTGCCCAGACTATGCCAGATTGAACAGTGCACCCCATGGGAGTCCTGTGATGCTGAATCCTCTGCCTACTCGTAGCCCACCCATAACATGCCCCTTGGTAGCTCCCTGGCCTTGCATGTTGTGGCAAAGGAAGAACAATGCCAGGCTTCCCTGTCTTCTGGCAGAACTCTTATATGTAGAATGACTTGAAGGGCCAAGCTGCCTACAGGAGATGAATGTAAACCCCCAAATCGATTTCAAGTTATATAAAAGAAAGTATCATTTCACACTGTAGTTTTCTGAAGTATTGGTTACAGTCATTCCTTGGTATCCTTGGGGGATTGTTTCCAGGATACCCCTTCCTTGTGGTTACCCAAAGTTGCAAATTCTCAAGTCCCTTAAAATGCCATAGTACTTGCATATAGGAGATGCACATCCTCCAGTATAATTTAAATCATCTCTATATTACATATACTCTCTGATAAAATGTAAATGCTACGTAATTAGTTATTATATTGTATTATGTAGAGAATAATGACAAAGAAAAGGTTTGCACATGTTTCTCTACTGATATAGTTTTCTATGGTTGATTGAGTCAACAGATGCAAAACCTAGGAATACAGAGGACCAATTATATATGTACTCCCAAGCAACATGTCCGTTGGGCATGCTGGATTCCCAGCATTGAATTCCCAGCATACCACAGGATAGTCCTGACCTTCCATGGGACTTCCCTTATCCCATTTGCCTTCTTGACATACAGGAGCTTCTTCCTCCCAACAATCAACTTCTAACCTGGTTTCATCTACCATGGGCAGAGAGGAGCCCCTAAAGACAGTATGGGATTGGGGATTTAGCTCAGTGGTAGAGCACTTGCCTAGCAAGTGCAGGGCCCTGGGTTTGATCCTCAGCTCCGGGGGGGGGGGGAAGACAGTACTTCCCACAGCAACCTAACCACTATGTCAAGGATCCAACAGAGTACCTCTTTCTTAGGCCAGGGGCCAGTCACATTCCAAAGTGGTCCAAATCCAGCAGGCTTTGTTTCCATCCTTGAATGCCTCCGGGCCCCTCCAAGTTGATGAGGTTCAGGCTCCATCATTTCTAGAGAGAACAGGGAATGCCAGGAGTGACGTTAGTAGTTGTCCCAAGATTTCTTGGTTAGCAGAGATAGCAGAAAGAACTTTCTTTTCTTTCTTTTTTTTTTTTTAGGACTCTCTGAAAACCGATTCACTTCTGATCCCAAGCCTGTTTATTCATCTGTTCAACAATTCAGTATTTGCAGAAGACTAAGCTAGGGCCTAGGATGCTTTAGAAAGTGAGCAGTCACAGGGACAAAATCGCAAACATCAATCAGCTCTGTATTAGGGAGATTGGGAAGTACAAAACAGAAAATAATCCATCAGTGTAAATTCAGATAAATAAATGTTCTGTGCATGATTAAAACAGCCTAATATTGGGGGAAGGGCTGCTTTCTAGAAAAGTAGAAGTCAACACTGAGAGTCCTAAAAGACACAAATAGCTTAACCATGAGAAAAGAAGTGAAAGAGCCTTCCAGAGCAAGTAAACTGCAAGCACAAAAGCTGCCGGATACTGTAGAAAATCACGGGTGGACCCACTTGATAGACTATAGACAGGGGACATTTTAGGGGATTCTCACCTTGCATCAACAGTTGCTCTTGGCTTTGCTTGAGGCTTCCAGTCCCCAGATCGTCAAGAATGGTCATTTCTATCTCTTCTTTGACATCAGAGGATCGTCCTGCCATCACTACTACAGAGAAGACGCTAGGAAGACCGTCTCTTCCAGGGGTTGAAATACAGGCGATAGACCAGCAGAAGAGGGTGGAGCCAGACCACCCTCTGCACTAAAGGCCTTGGACTGGCAACTTGTGTTCCTGCCGTATCTCGTGGGCCAGTGAGTGGCCTTCTGTTCTGTTACTGTGTACGCAAATTAAGAAAAGAGATAGGACTCCCAGCCATGTTGCCTATGAGAACTTCCCTGATTCACCATCCCTTGATTTTGCTACTTAGTGGTAGGTAGGGCCCACCTTCCACCATTTCTATAAAGATGAAAGGACTAGCATAGCGTCTGAGCATCAGTCAGTACCCAAAGCAGTCTCAGGTACCAGGCTTACCATTTCTCCAAGTCCAGCACTGGCCAATAATCCAGTCCACAGCTCATCCTGCCTCCCCCAATTCAGAGTCCCAGGGAAGGGAGATGGCAGTCTCTGATTTGAGTCCTGGGCAGGAACCATACAAACCAAAGCAGAGAGGGGCAAGGGAAAACAGATATGCTGTGGTCACCAGCACCCCTTGAGGTCCTGGGCCTGAGTGCCCCAATCTAAGTTTCAGTTCCTCTTCAGTTTTCCTAGTGATTAGACTAGGTACATGTGTCAGCTTGGCCAGCCCCTGATCTACAGTGACTCCATCAAACACTATCTAGTTTGGCTACAAAGGTACGTTGTAGCTGTGATAAGCATCGCAGTCCACTTTAAATGAAGGGGGAATTCTACTCAGTCATGTGGTGGTACTCAACCAACCTGCTGAAGGATTTAAGTGCAAACATTGAGGTTTCTAGGAAGAAGACAGAAGTTTTCTTCAGGAATGAAGTATCAGTTCCAGCCACCTTCCCAGCTGCAGCCCCTAGAACCAGTTGTTTAAGGGAATCCCTGTATCCTTAGGCATCTGCATGTACATCTTGTTTGTAGAACCTTGACTGATACAATTATCAGTGGTCAAACCTTGGTTTGTATGAACAGCCCCAGAGCCACTCAAGGAAGAAGAGGTTATTTGTCAAAGGAATCAGGCCCCACTGGGCCCACCTGGGAAGAGGAAGACAGAAGCAAATCAAGGGCAGGAGGAGAAAAGAAAGAAGGGAGGGAGGAAGGGAGGGAGCCAGGACTAGCTGAGAGATAGTAGCTTGGTGACTCCCCAGCCTGCTTGTCCTGCTCAGAGTTGGTATAGGTAAGCCCTGGCTGAATTCCTAAGGACCTGGACAATCCTTCCCTTGCTAGTTCCAGCAAAACAGCCACAATGAAACCTGAGCTTTGTAGAGGGCCACACCTTATCAGTAGAGAAACTGCCAAGTGCCTGTTGTAGAAGTCAAGAGTCCTAGAAGCTGAGCTTTGCATTTTTGCCCAACTGCAGTTGCCACATTGAGCAAATAAAAATAGAACAATAAATTTGAACTTCAGATTTTAAAAAATCATTATTAGTATCAGTGTTCTACTCCATGCGACATTTGGAACTCATGTACACTAAATTAACCCATGAGTTATCCGGCATTCAAATGTAAATGGATATCCTGTATTTTATTTGACAGTTCATGGCCTGCCCAGGAGCTCAGTATTTCTTGGACAGTGCTCTTCTTTGTGCCTCGGTCTGTCTGCTGGACAATGGGGCTCACAGTCCTTTCTCCTTACAGGCTGACAAAAGAGCTCAAAAGTCAGCTGCACTTGGCCTTGAGCTACTGTTCCCAGACAAGATTCACCTCCAGTTGCCAAGTGGCCTTGACCCACTGGGGCTTCCTGGGAACAGGAACACTGGCCCATGTGCATGTGGAGGCACTGCCCTCTGGTGGCATAGGAACCCACCTCCTTAATTGAAGCATAGAGGGTAGGGAGGGTTCTTTGATGACTCCTGGGTCCCCAAGGTCACCCAGAAACCTTGACAGTCCACTGCCTTAGCATACTTTCCTCTTTTACATTGTGTGCCATGGATGTCTGGAGATAAGAGACACAATTCTCTGCATAGTACCCTGCTAATATGTTAACGCTTACATAATTGTATTTACATTCGAATTTCCTTCTGAAATGTCCCTAAACTTGTAATCTAAATATTCTGAAAAACCACCACTGTGTATTGTGCTCATCTTAGAATTTCAAGGGGCTGGAGCTCTGCAAAGTGTTACACAGCACATGGGTCCAAGATGACTACAGACAGTCAATGCTTCAGTGGTAGCTTCTCAGAGAAAGAGCCAGGAAGTCTTACATGGAAGTTGGGCATGTTTCTGGGAATGAGAAAGAGGAGACCAGAACACTTCTGACTTGTGTGTCTATATATTTGCAGTGTGTAGAGACTTCATACACATGAAATCTCATATCTGAGATGTGTCCTAGTCACCAACTTACTTTTGTAAGTGCATAGTATGCTTTGGAGATCTCCCCATATCAGAACAGAAGTGTTGGATTTCTTTCAACCCAGTCCCACTGCTTCTCTCCCCCGACTGATGGTCACTGTGAGTGTTCAGAGCTTTTCCCTTCCAGAAGCCAAGTAGGACTGAGTGCTTCTAGACAAGCCTCTTTTCACACATGTTAATGTGTCTATAGAGCAATGGGTGGCTTTGTGAGGAACCATGGCATGCGCGTTGATAACTTCAAGCTGTGTTGGCCAATACTATCAACAAGCATTCCAAGGAGGCTACACAAAGTGGGTCACCAAGAGAAAGAAATGCTTTTTGCTTCACCCCAGTATCAACAGAAGATATTATGGAACTTTTTAAGAGGCATCATTATAATGTGTGAAAAGTGATATCTATCTCATTGTTGCTTTAATTTATTTTGCTTTAATTATGAATAAACCTGAGCCATTTTTCATTTGTTTATTGATCCTCTGTATTTCTTTCCTGTGAACATTTTGCTGGAGGGCTTAAATCTTTATTAAAAGAGGAGCTGTAATATTAGTGCAAAGGAATGGGGGTGAAAACTCTTCCTACCTTCAAGCCAAGCTTCCTCATAGCAAAAGGATCATCTTTTTCCTTAAGGAGATCTTGAATACACAGCCTCCACTGGGGACCAAACACATCTAGTTAATTACATGCACGTTTCAGGCTAAATCCTAGAGGGTATCCTGCTCCTACACAAAGCCAAGTGTCTAACTCCACACGGGCTAATGCCTGCCTGCCCTATCCGGGTGTGTGTGTGTGTGTGTGTGTGTGTGTGTGTGTGTGTGTGTGTTTGTCTGCCTGGCTCTCTGTCTCTTGGCCAGTTTTCAGTCTGCTTCATCTCCCTCTTCCAATAATGCCTCTCAGTCACTATCCTCTTTCAGCTCTTAAGCTACATATGGGCACTCTTCTCAGATTCCCATCTCTACCTGCTTGGCAGCAGTGGTGAGAGGCGGCAAAAGCCCAGGCCTGGGGTCAGAATGCCAGGAAATAACCCCTAGGCTTGTTAGTGGGGCATCTTGGATAAGTCACTTCTTCTTCTCTGAGCCTCTGCTTCCCAATCTTCATATTATGGATTGAGCTAAACTGTGTTTTGTGGTTTTAGGAAAGTGCACTAGAGGCAATCAGGGCTTCATGGCAGACCCTAGTCTCTCCTCAGGCACTTACCACTTTCTTCTTTTGAGTTACTATGTATTCTGTTTCATTTCTGGTGCCGTGATGAAAAACGCACTAACAAATAGTAACTCAGGGAAGAAGGGTTATAATTCCAGGTCCTAGTCCGTCATTGTGGAGAATTCAAGGCAGAAACCTCAGTTTGTCACAACATACCAATAATCAAAAAGAATGCATGCATGCTCGACTGCTTGTGCTCAGCTCGGTTTCTTTACTCTAACACAGTGTAGGGCCCCCTACTTATACAATGGTGCCACCCACAATGGGCTGGCTCTTTCCACATCAATTCACTTAATTGAGACAATCCAGCACAGACATGCCACAGGCCAGCCCAATGTATACAATTCCTCATTGAGACTTTCTTCCTATGTGATTTTAGGTTGTATCAACTTGATAAAGTTAACCATAACACCACGAAAGAGGCCATTCAAATCAAAGGTCTTGAAAAAAATCCCAAAATCCATTGGGTGTAATGACCTCCTGCCTCCAAGCCCTGTCCACAGCCCAATGTTAGACACCTGGAGCCCCCAACTCCAGCAAGTGATCCCTCCAGCTCAATTCTTCCAAGCAACTGGGAGCTTCCTCTCTGCTTGCTAAGGAGGTTTACATACCAGTAAACAATTGTCCTTCAGGCTCCTGGAAGCAGCTGCTACTCAAGTCATACTTAGAACTCCAGGACTCCCCCTGGGCAGGAAGGAGAAGGGGGCCTAAAGGAGCCTTAAAGGAACAGGAAGTACAGACAGAAGGGCATGGGGTCAAGTTGCAAAAACTGGATCTGGCCTAGGGAAGAAAGATCTTTATGAGCAGAGGAAGGGAAATAAAAATGTCAGGGCCCTTTTCATGATATTGGTTCTGTTGACCCAGGAGTATGAGTGGTTTTCCACCTTCTAGTGTCTTCCTCAATTGTTCAAGTGTTTCAAAGTTCTCATGGTACAAGTGTCCCACCCCCCATCCCAGTTAGAATTATTTCTATGGTTTTGTCTTGTTTTGTTTGGCTACTGTAAATGGTATTGTTTTCCTGATTGCTTTCTCAGCATGCTTATTAGTGATATATAGAAAAGCTATTGATATTTGTATGGTGATTTTTGTAACCTCCTACTTTGCTGAAAGAAATACAAATATAACGATTTCTTTCATATGTGGACTATATACACACACATTTTATTTATATATATATGCATATGCTATGACATGAAAGAAACACACTATTTCAAAAAGGGAAGCTGACTAGCAGGAGGGGGAGTGAGGAAAGGAGAGGATAATTGTGTAACAGACTTCAAGAAGCTACTTTTTTAAAAAAAGCACTGAGTCCTCATTTGGGTCCACAAAGTAACAGAATGCAAGAGGACAGCTTGGCAACTCCATACTCATGTTGTGCCTGTCTTGTTTACTTCGAGTATGACATTCTCCTTGGCTCTGCATAAGCCTAGT